CGGCACGCGGTGAGGCGGCGACCGCGGCAAATAAAGAAAACCGTCTTCAAACAGCCATTATATTACCTATTACTTGGCCGTGCGTCGAGATTAATTACCGTCCCCGCCTTGTCCGGCAAAGTACAATGAGGCAATTACCGTACAAAGTGCTCAGAGCACGCGCAAATCCTTATGATGGGCGACGCGACATGCTTTTTCTCATGGAACCGGCGCAGAGGATCCCCTTGGAGTTTCCGTATCTCTGTGTTACATCGTTTATGGTCCTCCGGTCTTGACCAAGGTCGGCAAATAACGGTGGTCGTGAAGCGCGCACACGTTAACTGTGCAGCGGTTGTTGTGATTTGTGAATGTATGTATTATAATTTATAATATTATATTGTTATATCATTTGTGTGTGCTCTACGATTGAAATATACCCGTTGTCTTGCCGTACGCCGGACGCGTTTAACGATACGGCTGTATTATTGTATATTATTTTAAGCACTTTAATCATTACCCCGCGATCGAGCAGCGACGACACCGGTCAGACGCACATTAGTGTACCGCCATATTATATTATTATGTATAGCCTAAAACTTAAAAGCCTTGACACCAAAAAAACAAAAAAACAGAAGAAAAATATACGGAGTAATAATTTTTTTTCGACGACACCTCGCTGGCCGTCAGCCGATTCGATGGCATTTGACGAGTGGGAACGATTGGCGTTTGTGTTTCTCACACTGCGGTAGCACTTTGGGGGTTATCTTGAGTGAAATCCATACTGCATCACGATCTGCGTGTGCGTACGTAGTATACGAGATGACAATGAGGTCGATTTGAAATTGGAAAAAAAAAAAAAAAACACCATCGGCCGATAGTATCAAATTCCGTTTTTAGACTTGGGCGTAACGCGCTCGGCCGATGATTGCTATTATCGGTATGCGAGAAAACATAACAATTCGAAATAGGTACAGTGTGTAACATGTAAACATTTACAACAACTGCTGCTGTGTTATCCGTGCGTGGTTTTAGGTCAAGACCGTTTTCAGAGATTCCTTCGTGCGTGTGTGTCATGTGTGTCATGTGTGTCTTTAAGACACTCGTAACTCGCATGCGATATGGATATACCCCGGAATGACCATTGGCGCGCGCCAATATTATGCATCAGCCTATATTATAGTAGACGGCATTGTTGTAATATTTTATTGCGCACACATAACCCTAACGAAAATAACATAATGTACCGCGTTTCGACACGACAAACCGCGCAGTTATTACCGATAACATCATTAATATCAATAACAATCATTTTTAATAGTATCCGTGGTCCGTTAAGGACTTGTGTGTGTGTGTGTAGGCGTATGCAGTATTGTGGGTACCTATGATTTTGCAAAACTGTATATTTTATGATCGGTCGTCTAAAGTTTAAGTGCGCCGTCGTTGTGTAAGATACGGTTTGTGATGCGAACGCCAAGACATTGTCACAGCGCGTTCTCCTCTCTCTCTCTCTCTCGCACGGGCAAAAAAAACAACGGTTATCGTGGTAAACGTAAACGGCGTTGAAGGCGCACGACCGGATATCACGCTTCCGGATTGTCATGTGAAGTGTACCTATGGACTACCGGCGCACAAAGCCTGGTTGTTTTGAATAATGTTATCGATGGCTCGATCGCGCCAATGTCTTCTTTTTTTTTTTTTTTAATGAACTTCTCGTGAGCGAATCCCAGCTAATCTTATTATTGATGTTTATCAATTATCGTCGCTTGTGTTTTACTCGAATTTTCACCAAAACTCCTCGTAGCGGCTAATAAGCGCACATATTTTATTGTACACCGTTTATTTGCCATTTTTCTGAATACACGCTGACACTATGGTTAAAACGTCATGGTTATGGTTTAAACGTCACAAACATTTCCATTTCCTAACTCGAATGCTCGAGTTTACTAGTCAAAAATCCATTGGTTGACTCACATTTGATGGATTTAACAAAAAAAAAGATGTCGTCACGATTTGCCTTTAGTGCAATTAATGGAGGATGGAGATAATACTTGAACGCCCTGGCTAAATTAATTTTAGTAACATAACACCTTTAAAATGGTCTAAAACGGCCAATGAGCTTTGAAGTTTTTATTTTCCTCATAAGGGTGCAGTTAAACAAATATTTATAGCTTTTTTTTATTTTTACCGCTCTTAGAAACTGTTTAAAAACTAAAAAGGATGTTTGAATTTGCACGCTTAGTAATAAAATTGTGTGACAACGTTTTTAATTATACCCGTAAGAATTTTTCAAACGCGAATTTTGTTGTCGCGCATTTTATTAACAAATTAACGCTGTCGGCGAAATTATAGATCCGTGTACGAACAATACCATGGTTAAGTTATAATACTTAAGCGTTGAAGTAAAACTCTAGTAAAAGCAAAAGTGGTTTTGTGTTTATAGTGTCTAATATCGCTATGTTATGTACACTAAGCATAAAGTCATATTTGCCATCCGTCACCCAAGTGTGAGATATAGCAAAGAAGATAATATTCTAGCATACAAGATGACGAATCATATTATTATAGTAATTGTATATAATAAATCATATTGTAAACACAGTTGTAGACATGGATTATTTTTCTTTTGTCGGACCAAACGCCCCCGTTGGCACATGATAATTGCACCGTACGCAATTCAATCCACGTGGATCCGGTATCTACGGCCGACCGTTTAGTTGTGGGTGGCGCCAAAGCCAAAACAAAGCGAAGGAATTACGAATAAAAAATGAAAAAAATTTAATTAATTATAATTATCACTTGCTGAGTGCCGGCAAATCTGTCGATATATCCGTCAACCGGCGGTCGTGATGGCCAGAAGGCGATTTCGGGCTGTCGGTTGTTGCCCATCACATCACTATATTATTATCATCCAAGTTCAAGGACACGCACAACGTTTCCAACGCTATACGACTGGCAGGTACGCCGAAAAAAAAAATATTAAAATAATCAAAAACCGTTTTCTTCAATCCACAAGTCGTTGCGGACGACACGCCGAGATGGCAGCGTTTAGGGCAGCAGTCTTTCGCGATAACAATAACAAAAGCATCGTGTACGTCGCCAGTGCATAAGTATATACCTAATATTATGTGTCTTATGTATTATAATTTTGCCACAACACTATCATAATAATATGCTCCCTTTCACGTTCGATTCGTCCGTCACAGTTTTCCAATGTCGCGACCGTTTGCCCTTGCCCGTCGGTCCGTCCGCTTCCATTCTATACCTGTGTATGACGACGATCGGTTCATATACTTAATATTATTATTATTATTATTATTATTACTACTACTACTCCGGATGAGTAACCCGTTCACGTCGTTATTTATAACACCAGTCATCCTCTTCACCGCGAGATTTATGGGTCCTAATAACATAACGATAATGTTATCTTCCGCGTTGTTCAATACACATTATAATATTATGTGTGTGTGTGTATAGGACGAATGATAACGCGATGCATATAATATAGGTATTATGTGTATAATATATAATAATAATTACCTACCTGTACGCCGGTCCGTGACGAATGTCCCGCGCGCTCAACACAAATGGAAAAACTAATCACGATTTACCGGGTCGCGAAAATTATTCTATTATTCATAATAGTACATGGTATCATACCTATATATTATAATCCGCAATATTATTTTCATTCAGTCGTTTTGCTTATTTTATTTTGAACGTTCTTAACGAGTACCCGCCTAGATGAATGGGCGCCAAACAACCGTATTATTTTTACGACCAATAACCGTCAAGATTAGCGCATTGAAATATTATTGAACCGATACGATTTTTCATTATCAACCGACGTTTAGCATTGTACAGTAGCGTTATTTTGTAGAATAGTTGAGTAGGTATTGCTTTCTACCATCAGTTCTAAGGAAACGGGGTGTTTTATGGAGTGATTACAGATATGTGATACAAAAGATACAAAGATATGTGATTACATAAAAGTTTTAAATTGTTTTAGACGGAGTGTCAGAATGAAAAATATCAACCCAACTATAAGAACTGGGTTGACAATAAAATTAATGTGTGTTAAAACTAATAAAGTATACCAATTAGCAAATTTAATAAAAATTACATTAATTTGTCAATCAAATTGAGAAAACAATATTTTATTCATCTGGCATCTAACAATATAGTTTCTGGCAAAAATCACATTTTACTCGCATATGAACAAAAAGTTTTCCAGAATTGAATAATAATTTTTTTCACATTAAAAAAAAAGTTTGTTTTTTTTTTAAATTTTAAATCTGTAATATTAGATACAATGAGTAAATTTGAAGAAAATTATACAATGACAGGACGACATGATAGAAGGGGGTGTCCAGTAACACTACTTCAGATAGATTTTATTACATACATAATTAATTGTTTTAAATTGCTTAAGTTTGCTTAGTTTGTTTTGTTTTGTTTTTCTTTTAGTTATTAAGAAGGTCGCGTGACCAATAAAAAAAAGTTATAAAATATTCAAGTTTTAAGTTATACATTTTTCGACTAATTATTCTCTGGATCAAATTAATTCTATTTGTACCGGAGGGAATAACTCGGTTAAGAAACAATTATTTAACGTGTAAAATGATTTTCCGTTTTTAAAAAACATAATTAAATTTGAATTGGAAAGACAATTTTTTTTTTTGTTAGCGAGTTAAATGTGATTTTGAGATAAATATAAACTTTTGTCCGGACCCTCGGTTAAAACGTCGGTTTTTTAATTTTACAAACCATTTTTTTTGAAAAACAAATTTTATTACTATTTCTGAAATCATTTATCTTATCGTTTGCAGAACGTTACTATTGTTACTACTCCTGTGGGAGGCAATAGATAATACTCGTCATTAGACTGAACGGATGTATCGTGTATCAGGCCTTATCCGTTCTACATATCAAGCCTGATGCGTTCTACTCGGTTGCACGATAAGTATACAAATCAAATATAATACAATATAAATACACAACGATAATAACGCAAAACTTACCAAAGCGCCGGACGCGTAGAGGGCGACGGTGCACAAGAGCACTGCGAACTGTAACACTCCCATCTGGAGTCTAGTGGAATTTTCACGGACTCGATCGAAACGAATATATATATATAAACGAACGAGATAATTATTTTAAATCAAATATGTAATTAATATAAACAACAAAAAATAAGTAATTAATTGTTACAATAACTACTGTGTCCAGTGTCTCTCTATATATATATATATATAAACCAACGGGTGCAACGTCTGCTTGTGTATGTGTGTATATGTATATAATATGCAAGCTGTGTCGGACGCAGCGTGCGAGCGACTTGGAAGCGCGACAACGATAGTGAGAGTGAACAGACGGTCACTTTCGATGTGCCGCCGTCGCCTCCGAGTTGTACCTACAACAGTGGTGCGGCTAAGAGGAGGTGCTCTCTCGCGTGTGTCCGTCCATCGTGCATACTTGTACACATGTCGGATTGTGCAACAGCTTATACGTTATATGTATACCTATATATATATATATTACATGTATAGGTAGTACCTGCAAACGATATAGATGACCGTCGACGCAAACGCGCCGGGCGCACAGTACGTCACCCGCGCAGTACTTGTTAGGCAGGTACTTAGGTCCTGTTTTTGTTAAACTTCCAAGTGCGTTTGCATAGTAGCCAAAAGTATAAAATGTGTACATCCGAGTGCGAAACAAAACACAAAAAGTGTAAAACACTTTAGGGGTTCGATAATAGTTTTTAGTCAATAATGATTGAAACGCTTAACATTTTTTAACGAATAATTTGAAGTTTATTTAGAATTACTGCATTTTGAACTGTACCGTCGATTTGTACCTTCTCGGTTAAAGCCAGTAACCGACAGTGTTTTAGAACTCTATTTCCTCTCGTCCAAAGAGCATCTTATTATTTTTTTTTTTTTTCAATACCCGACACCACTGAAAGTTTGTTGATTGAATCTAAAAAGACAATCTTCAATTAATATTGGCCTGAAATAAGTGTTAGCCTTTTACACTGACTATACTTAAAATATATGAAAAGTATCAGTATTGTTAAACTAGCCTTGAATTTTTAAATTTAGCTGGTGCAAATAGCTATAATATTACTTCTTACCATATTATTCATAAAGAAACATTTACACATTCATAGATCTTAGTAAAATAAAATACAGTGATCTTGACAATTGTACAATACACGCATAAACGGACATACTGATCGATTATCTGTTCGACATTGATTTTGATGTCAAAAGTAACAAAACAACAAAAAAATGCCAAAAAAAAAAACCAGTCTCTTAGTAAAATGTAAATGATTATTCGTGTCTATCCACCAGTCACTTGTCAAATAACGAGAAACCGATTAAATATATTTTACTGTAAAGTCATTACAGAAATCCGTTTAATACTGGTTTAGTATACACATTAAGTACAACGTAAGCTAAGTAGGTATTAAAAAAAAATCCAACCAAATTGACTGAGTTAAACAGAAATACTTTGAAAAACGAGATATTAATAGGCGGCAAGGATCTTGTTTACTTGGTTTATATACTAGTTTTCATTTTTAACTAGACATGGCGGCCGAATGTTCGTTCGATAAGTGTTAAACCAATCATTAAATATTTAATGGTTCTTAAAAAATAATTTAGTAGCCCGAGGTTGTATTAGTAATATTGTTTTATAGGCACTTTATCATAGAATAAGTTGTTTGATTTAATACTTATTTTTAAAACTTTTCAAAAATTGTCGCTAAATTTTTTTAATTTGAGTCTATATATTTGTTAACATAATTATAGCTATTTTAGCAAATCGAAAACAATAGTGATCAGTGACGTTTACTTATAATAGCTACACCTTAGGAAAGGCACAGTAAGGTACAGTAAGGACATAGTATAGAGCTAGAGTATCCCTCACCAAAACAATGTATTTATGAGAGTTCCGTCATTTTTGGGATTTAGTTTTGTTATGTATTATAGTTACGCGTAAAATCAAAATTGTGTCCAAATTAAACAGTACCATCAAGTATTAATTATCAATGTACATAACCATGAGTGTTTACTGCGATTACACAATATTATTCAATCATGCTTTATAGAAATACTAATTTTTAACTATTTATAGGAAGGCTGAATTCTTATACATGCAAATGTACTAAGGCCGTTGTTCCCATTGATAAGTCGTTACATAATATAAGACAATTGATATCAAAAACTGCCAAATTCTTTCCAAATTACTCCTATATTCTTTACGCCAAGTAATATAATAATACATAAATGTCGCAAATGACTCGAATAGCATAAATCCGCAAATAACAGCGTAATGGAACAGGACAGGGAAGTATTTTAAAAGTTAATGTCCAATGAAATGTTATTTGAAAGTGGTTCCATAAGGATTTGATTTATAACAAAAAAAAAAAGAAATGAATTAAACTATTTAGTAAATGATAATGGGCGTAAAATCATTTAAGATATTTTGAGTAATTCTTTCAACCTTAATATAAATTACATATTGCAATGAAACTGTCCAATGCTAATAATTATTAACTATGCAAGTGATTGCAGAAATTCCATAAACGATACCGCTCGACTTAACCTTCAAGCGAATAATTTAAAGCTTCGGGATGTACGCTTGCCGTATCTATTTTATAAATAGGATTATAATTCCTAATTGATATGGTATAATTTTATGTAGGTATTTCTTTATGTCTTTATATATCCTCGTCGCACTTCATCAGTTCCGCATTGCAAAATCTACTTTAGTTTTATTGTTAGAATGGCTATGTAAATTTGTTTTTCTAAAAAAACATGGAACATTAATTTATTTTTAATTTCCCTTATTAAAAACGGTCTAAGTCGAGTTCAAAATACTTGTTATTTATTCGGTTAGTCATTAAAACTTAAATACCGCGGTGAACGAAAGTGTTTAAAACATATCATTCGCAATAATAAAACACAAAATACCTACCTGTCTAGTGTCTACATAACTAATACCTAATATATAGCCTAACAATGATTTATAAAAACAAATACTCATACCGTAGGAGACGTTAACGCTGGAGTATACGTCGAGTAACGTACACAATTAAGAAACCTAGAGTGCGTGTAAGCAAACAAAAAAGGTGTTAAATAACAAAATGTATATTATATACACATAAGACCTCTCCAACTGTTAAACGACACAAATCACACAACGTTTTAAGTATTAACAACTTACTTGAGAAGTTATAGCGTTTAACGGGTTTATATAGAAGTACCTATAGCTCTGTGCGTACATATTCGAGTAGGTAATAATTATTTTTTACATTTTTTTTTTTGCATAAGTATAAAAGCGTCGTGATGTATCGTGGGTATGGGTACGTTTGAAAATAAAAATATGCTTGACATCGAGATGAGCTCACAATAGTCATAGTAGGTCGTAGAAAGGTGAGCATGGATTTCTCACAAATACATACATCACGGTTCGAAGAGAAAATTTTAACGGTGACGTTTGGCAGACATTTGTACGGTATGATTGATTAATAATGATTTAAATTACTAAATTAAACGACCGTAAACGAGCCATATTAAACGTCCATTATTGTTTATAAATATTAGTGATGTAACTAATTAACAATGCATTATAGCGGTGTTGCGGTTATACAGTCAAAACGTAGTGTGCAGAAAGCTAATTTAACAAAGCTGACCTTATAGTTTGTGTACATAATGTTTCATTTTGCTATCGGTTTTTAAACAAAAATTAATTTCAGAGTCCGTATTTTTGGGGTTAGCTCGGTTAGTTTATTGATTAATAAATTTATTAATTTATTAATCTCCGATCTCTACCTAATGTGTTTATTTAATATTTTCACCACATAATATGCCTGTAGAAAATTACATGTAAAATATATTATAAAAATTTAACAGGGACTTAAAGATTTGACCATAACAATATGTTTCTTTTTATCACCTATTGGCGGCTCCATTATGAACGTTTTCGACTGCACGCTTACATTTTTGGCACCGGGAAGAGTAAATCATATTCAATATTGTAAAAACACATTAACAGTTGTGCTGTAAAATTGTTGTTTGTTTTTATGGACTTAAATCCCATAAAAATACACCCGGTTAATATAATGTGTTAAATTCTAATTAGGATTTGACCGTCAAAAGTTTTACATTATCCTTCGGACGCTGCGCGAACTGATTATTAAACTAAATTCCTCTCCCACGACGAATACACTAAAAGCAATATTTTTTTTTTTTTATACTTCAATGAGAGATGACCGCGTGCACGTAATAAACCGTCTGTATGATTATTATTGTTATTATGTCGGAATTTAAAAAATAACTGGTGTACCGCTGCAATATTGTTTGCGGCCATCAAACGTCTCCGGAGAACCTGCCGAAGATGATGATTCACTGCAGTCGGAAGCGCAATAGTGAAAGTCTTAACTATTAAGCCGCGGTCATCCTAATGTCCAGTTGTGGTCACATACGCAAAGTTCCTGTCTTTCTTTATTGGATGTCCATTTGTTTGTTTGGCTACCGAAAACGTTGCATAATACCGTTGTACAGTTTAGTCACGGTATTTAGGAATAAAATATACAAGGCCTTTAAATAAATATAATACGTAAAAACATTGTTTTATTTTTTTCACCTAAACGATGAGCAATAACTAAGGAATTTTCGCTACTTAAATTACCATATCGTTGATGGAAATGATCATCTCTTAAGTAATCTCAAGCAACACTTACTTACCATGCATATACCTACACATCATATAAAATGGTTGGATTACAATTTGCACTATCTCTGTACATTCAACCTGTACATATGTAAATAAATATAAAGATACGGTATTATGATATTCTTTATTATTAAACAGGTTAAGCGTTAAAAAACAAATCAAATAATGTGTAACTGTACAAGTACATTGTTACATTACAACGTTAAGTATAAAATGCACTTGCATAGCTGTATACATCACGTAACGCTAAAACGGTTTATTTTCATTTATACTAGTTAACTTTTGTTACGGAATCGTGTTTCACGATTTATATTTACAATAATTCATGACGATATATATACTGTATGGGCGTTCAATTTATTTTTTCATAAATCATATCGAACAACTTGTGCATTATGCTAAGCGAAATCAAGATAATATAAAAAAAAGTTAGATTCTTCTTCTTTTTTTTTTTTTGAGTTCTAATTTAATTAGGAGCCAAAGTGTCAAGTGGTAAAGCTCATACAGTAGTGTCAATAAATACATATTTTCCTAAATATTTTATAGTAGTAAATTTGTTATTTGGATAAGGTTTTTTAAAAATAATACACGAATAACTTTTTAATTTATGATATTATATAGAAATGTGATTGAACATATCGTGTGTGTTTTAATACTTG